GAACACTGCGAGGTAAAGTCTGTTTTTCTGAGCCTGACCTGGAGATGCTATATTGTTCATAAAAACGAGAAACATGCGACACGCCCTAGCTGTCTTTGCCTACAGTCTCTCAGATGAGCTGTTAGATACTTCGCTGAGGGTGTAAGCTGCTGAACCCTCAGGGCATGAGCATAAAGCTACGATCAGTGAGTTTGACATGGTTGGTTGAATTAACAGTAGACGTATAAAAACTCATACTTTACTAAAAGCTGTAGGAGCGTAGTGCATAACAGATCCGTAGTCATATTCGGTGTCTAGATGGTCAATCATCTGTAAGGAGTATTTGTCGAACTGATCTAAAAAGCTTGTTCATGATGGAATTGTATTTTTGATAAGATAGTACAAACCTTGAAGTCCGGACTCAACATTGCTCCAATTGATAATAACGTGGTCATCGCGATCAGCTCTACCTGAGAATAAATAGGAGAACTACTAGTTAAGGTATAGAGCTATTTTAAAATGCGTGAATAATAGGAGAGAAAAGGTTCTTCAATGAAAAATTTGTAAGTGATAGTATTTTAAAAAAACCCAATGTTAAATTGCACAAGTGATCTATTTGAGGATTTGTTAGTTCCTTAACTATGGCATACGAATGGAAACTTAAGAAGTTTCCATTCTATCTACTTTTTATGTCTGCTATAATTGGCCAATATAGTTAACGCCTCATACTCGCAATAATATAAGCAATAAATAAAACAGACTAACTTTGCTCGTGAAAAAATCCAACTACGTGCATTAATTCATGTATAATGATACCCTTCTGTATACAGCCATCACCAAGGCTCACTGGCTGTTTTCCACCTGCAAATAAATAAATACTCATCCACGCGCTTTTCCTAATGCAATTCAGTGAGCAACAAGTTAGGATTGAGGTGAGGAAAGCAAACGCATTCCGGTTTAGCAATAGTCACTGGTCATCAGCCGATTCCAGTTGCAACAAAAGCACAACCAACGGCACACGCAACCTAATCCGGTATTATGTAGCGATGATTGCGCTATGTTGCACAAAAAGTGAAGTATTGGGACATATCGGTTGCTGTGCGTCGTGAACAATAAATGTAGCGAAAGTTGTCGAGAAAAACATATGATGGATAATTATGGTGATACTAACCTATACGGCCGACGAGTGAGTAGCATCCGTCATCCGGAACAATATGGATATAGTCCTGGTCAGCAGCGCTTTTTGGTGAGAATTCTATGCACGTCTTTTTCTTGTACTCTTCTATTGCTTCCGCAATCTTTGAGCGACTGTAAGTATAGTGGAAGAATTGCAAAAAGCTTTATGAATGTGAAACTCAGGCTATATTGGGCTTGAAAGCCTAAC